ACCACACTCTCTCTCTCTCTCTCTCTCTCTCTCTTTCTCTCTCTCAAATAAATAAAAAAAAAATTTAAAAAAAAAGACAGGGACTAGCAGATTGGATCAGAAAATAGAATGGAACTCTATATTGACTATAGGAGACACACCCTATCCTCAAAGGAAGAAATAGACTGAAAGTAAAAGGATAACTCCATGCAACCCAACCCACAAGCAAGCAAGAAGAGCTGTAATAATTTCAGACACAGCAGTCTTTAAACCAAAACTGATAAGAGACAAAGACAGACACCATATACTGCCAAAGGGAACAGTTCAAAAGGAAGAGATAACTACATATACATGCCCCAAATACTGACACAGCTAATCTCATAAAACAAAAACCACAGGACCTGAAAAGATAGACACTAAGGCAATCATAGTAGAAAACACATACTTTCTCAAAAATAGGTCAGACAAAAAAATTAAACATCAGAATTAAATCATCCCATTGGACATACGAAACTAAGATATATCTTCAGTGTTTCATCCAACAATAGAACATGGAACTTTTTCCAAACTAGACCACATCTTAGGTTATACACCATGGTTAAATAAATTCAAAAGAATTGAAATAATCCTAAACATACTATCAGATTATAGTGAAATTAAATGAGAAATCAACAGCACAAGAAACTTATGCAACCATGAAGATTAAAGAATACATTATTCAACAGTCAGTGACTTACAGAAATAGGGAAAGAAATTAAAAAGTTCCTAGAATCAACAGTGGAGGCACTGTGCACCAAAACCTATGGGACAAAATGAAAGCAGTCCTAAGAAGGAACTTCACAGTGGTGAATGTGCACACTAAAAGAATAGGCCAATGCCGAACAAATAATGCAATGATTTATCTCAAGATTCTATATAAACGACAATCCACCCTACAGCTAGGAAAGAAAGAGCAGAGCAGAAATTAACAAAATTGAGACTTAATGCAAAGAATCTGTGAATAACAGAATCAGTTCTTTGAAATGATAAACAAGATTGATAACCTCTTAGACTTAAGAAGAAAAATCTATCAATGCAATTAGAAATGAAAAAGGTGAAATCACAGTTGACAACACTGAAATTCAGAGGATTATGAAAATAATTTAGAAATTGTATATTCCAATTAAGTGGAAAACTTACGAGAAATGGAAAAAAAAAATCCCTAGATGCATATGAATTACAGTAACTGAACCAAGAAGCTAAAAAACCCTCAGTAGGCCTATGATAGGCAATGAAATAGAGATAGTAATAAAATCATACCAAGAAAAGCCCAGGACATCCAGGATTCATTGCAGAATTCTACCAGGATTTCAGGAAGATCCAACATCAATACCCCATAAAATTTTCCATGAAAGTGAAAGGAAGCACAGACAAATTCATTCCTAGAGGCAAGCATTGCCCTGATGCTAAGCCCAGACAAGAACTTAAAGAAAAAAAAGGTCAGTCTCCTTCATGAGCATAAATGTAAAAGTTTCAACAAAATCTTGACAAATAATGTGCCAAATTATTAAAAACACACATGAGTCCTGACTTAAGGTGGTTTCATTGCAAGGGCAGAACATGTATAAGTAAACTACAGAAATAAGGACAAAAGTCACAATCTTTTTTTTTTTTTTTTTTTTTTGAGACAGGGTGTTGCTAGGTAGTCCAGCCTTATCTTAAACTCATTGTGCAGCACAGGCTGACCTCAAACTTGCAGTGGTCCTCTGACTCAGCCTCCTGAGTGCTGGAATTACAGGCAGATGCCACCACATCCGGCCCTGATTATCTTAATAGATGCAGAAAAAGCTTTGACAAAATCTAATATCCCTTGAAGATTAAAAACTCTGACCTCCCCCAAAAAATAAGAACCTTATTTTAAACCAATGAAAGCTATTTGTGACAGCTCACTGCCAACATAATACTAATAATACTAAATAGAAAGTAAAAGCTAAACTCAGCTGTAAATTTTACTCAGGAACAAGACTAGAGTGTCCACTCTCGCCACTTGTGTTCAGTGTAGTACTCAAAACGTTAACCAAAACAGTGAGATGAGAAAGATATAGAAGTGTTTTGAATAGGATAGGAAGAATACAAACTATTCTTATTTTCAGGTGACATGATCTTTATATAGAAGACCCAAAAGTGTCCACCAAAAGGCAAATAAATTCAGCAAAGTTGTAAGATACAAAATCAGTACACAAAAACTAGTAGTGTTCATGTACTCCAACAGTGAATCCCTAAGAAAGAAATCAGGGACACAATCCTATTCACAATAGCTAAAAAAAAGTAATTACAAAGCTGGAAGTGGTACTGACACACCTGTAATCCTAACACTCTAGTGAGGCAGGAGGATTGCTGTGAGTTTAAGGCCAGCCTCAGTTACATAGTAAGACCCTTTCTCCAAAAAAAGAAAAATTATGTACCTGGATGAACCGAGGGAGTGGAGGATCTCTATAATAAAACTGTAATACTCTTAAGCAGAGTACTACAAACAAAATACTACAAACAAAATAAAAGAAAAATGGATAAAATGGAAATAAGATTTTGTGTGTGTATACCAGGGATCAAATTCAGGACCCTGTGCTTGCTAGGTGGGCTCTTAAGCAGCTTGAGCTCCCTCCTTGGCCCAAAAGTAGACTTTTGTGGAGAAGATAAAGGGATGAGGGGAGAAGAGAAGGAAAGAGGAAGTAAAAAAGTGTCAATTTGACAGATGTATGTACTGATATCCCATATACTCATTATGTATCACAAACATACTTCAAGGGCCTGAGAAATGGCTCAGTGGAATAAGCGCTTCCCTGGCAAGCGCAAGGGCCTGAGTTCAATCCCCAGTTCCAAGAAAAACATACTTTTAAAAACTCACAGTCTACATCCATACTACCTTGAATGTGCCTCATCTCTTTCTGAAAACCTCATTAAGAGCAAAATAATAGACATTCCCTAATAGAGAAAAGCTTGGGCAAAAACATCTCTTCATTCATATATGGAAAGAATGCAAACTTTTGAATATTGAAACAAGGGTTTTCTGAAGATATTGATAGCATTTTGTATTACAGTAACAGTAGGCACAAGTAGAGAGTTAAGCCTGAGCCTCACTTGCTGATCAGCAAAATGATTGAGGTTATAATTCCACCTTTTGTCTTGATCTAAGAAGGTTTTTTTAAGATTAGATGGGATAAAAACTTGTCTGCAGTTATGTACCTTCTGTTGGCAAAGACCGAAACGGAACTCAGTTTTTGTCAAATTCAAAAAAAGCACTTTGTCTTTACTGATAAATATTACTATTCCTACCTCAACAGACTAGGAATAAAGCAATAGAGATAAAGTGGTTAACTTACTATTTGGTGTACAGTAAACATTCAATAAATATAAGGAGTTCCCATTCTTTATTGGCCCTGAGACCAAAAGATAATGGAGATTTTTTTTTTTTTAATGGAGATGTTGAGGATCACGGAATTAATATATTATGCATAAAGGTGGGCCTTGAAAGGATAAGAACTTTCTTATGATAGCTAGTTGAACAAGGACTTCTGGCCTTATTCAGTGTAGTCCTGAGCCCTCAATGACATTTTTTGGCAACTTAGGCTGCTAGGGTTGGAGTAAATGCCAGGCGTGTTGCATAAAATTGGACTATGTTCCTCCAGATCCTTTCTGAACTCCCATCTTTTCTGCCAATCTCCACTGAATGACATGTGCTGATCATTAGTGAGATGTTTTCAAGTGTCAGTGCTGAAGAAAGGCAGGTTTTTCTTTTGTTGAAATGAGAAAAGAATTCTGGCTTTCTGTAAAGCTGCGCAGAGCAGTAATGGCAAAACTACAGCACATGTGCTGCCATGGGCAGTTTCCATCATTGAAAGTTCAAAAAAGTTTGCCATCAGTGGTCTAGGTGAAAAATACTCATCCACTTTATAATCAATATACATATGTCTAGTATTTTTCAAGTTTAGTCTCATGTTGCACTTGCTATGTAAACAAATCAATTGTAGCTAAAGTCTGCAGAATACTGAGGAACTGCAGTGCCCTAGAGGAAAATATCAAGCAGGAAGCCCACCCAAACTAGGCCAACTGCTATTTTTACTAACAACCTTATTAACAGTACTGAGCCACAATATTTTTTTTCTCACAATTACCTGTAGGTGATACTTCTTAAAGCCATCACTGTAGTTGAATAGACCCTTTGACGTTGTATGTTAATCTTGGTGTTAATTGAGATACCATGATTTCTTTAATATTTTCAGCCACATACATGTTTTATGCTTTGTTGTAACAGCATGTAAGTGAAGAGAAAATGGGATGTCACTTAAGTAAAATTTGTTTGAATTTATAAATATTATGGCATGTGTCTTATATAGTTTTATGCTGAATGCTTTCAGACTGTTAAAATATTCATATCCAACAAGTATATCTGAAATAATACTCATTGTGTATATTTCATATTTCACACAAAAATCAATCTGTTAATGTCGTACTCACAGTACCTCTGTGCAATTTTGTTTTAGTCCATTCCCAGAAGTTGCAGAATCAGTTCAGCAAGAGCTAGAAGATTACAGAGCACAAGAAGATGAGGTCAAACGACTTAAAAGCATAATGGTAAGAACCTCTTTGCTGTCAGAGAATTACAGGGAAAAGAAAGGCAATCTGTGGGGGGAAAGAGGTTCACTTATTTTCCTTGCATAAAAGTTTAAGGCCGTTTATGGCTTTGATGACAAAAGTATACTCAGCTTATTCAGTGATTAAAAAAAAAAAAAAAACCTAAATACTGAAATCAGAAAATTATAAAAATAACATGAAGTTATGATTTGGAAAAACAACATGAGTATTTTAGAGATAAATGTTCTAACACTTCTTTTTCTACCATATTTTGATACAAATTCAAGTTTTAGTTATACTGTTCACTACTGTGTGACTTGTAACAAATCTCTGGGCTTCTTCCTTATCTGAAAATGCTAGCTGACCCTTATTTATTTACTAAATCAGTGGCTTAGTAAACTAGTGGTGACTGAAATTTCCATGTAACTGTTAAAAATGCATAAGCTTTCTGGGTGCAGTGAATCTGTAACCTCCAGCTACAGCAGGAGAAACTTGAGTTTGTGGTCAACCTGGGCTACCTACCCAGACCCTGTTTTAAAAACATACAAACATGCTTACCCCTGACGAAGAGAATAATTATTCTAGATGACTTCATTCCTACTATTTATCAATAATCTTAGGGACATGAGTTGATTTCTGTGGCTGGGCCTGTGAATTACAAATAGTTACTAGCACTTTTTTCCCTTCCAGGGGCTAGAAGGGGAAGATGAAGGAGCCATAAGTATGCTTTCTGACAACACTGCCAAGTTAACATCAGCTGTGAGGTAAATACTCAGTATGTCCTCTCTGTAGTATTTGTGTTGATGAGGTTTACGTTGGAGGTTGAAAAATCATCCCTTTTTAATAATAGAAAATAGATAATAGCGATACAGTGTGGTTCTTTATGTTCACAGATATGTTTTTAACGTTCAAACTGATTTCGGTTCTCGATTGGATACAACAGGACATTTGCATTTAGAAAAAATTGATAGAAGAAGGGTAAACTTGGCAGTTACTACTAATTTTCTTTTTGTTGCTCTTATTTTATTGGTTGAAGATTAAGCACTTTTCAGTAACTTGCTATTAGGAGGGAGATTTCATGGTTCAGAAATGTAGGTAAGATGTATTTCCATAGAGCTGATTTAAGTTTAAACTTTGGAAATAGAAATAGTGATATTTGAGAGTCAGATTACGTTAAAATAAGTATTTCACTTTTATTAAAGTAATACATGCTATATGTGGTCAAGTCTGCAGATTACATTCAGTGATAGGCTCTGTCATTTTGTCACTGTTTAGTGTTCAAACTTTTCTGAACACCAGAGATAGGTTTCATTAAAGTTTATATCATTTTCCTAGGAAATTTTATGATTGATTTTTAATTTTGGGGTCCTTGTAGTTCTTTGCCAGAACTTCTTGAAAAAAAAAGACTTATTGATCTACACACAAATGTTGCCACTGCTGTTTTGGAACATATAAAGGTAAATTTAACTTTTCCCCTTGTAATATGACTTCTATTTGTAGAGGGTCTTTATTGTATAAGATGCTTTTAAATTCAGTATTTCATTGAGCCCTCACTGTAACATTGTGAAGCATAATTGTAATATTCATTGTCTAGGTAGCAATTTTTTGTATAGCAAGTGAGGAAATGTAAGAATCTAGAAAAATAAGTGATTTGCCCAAGAAAATCACTTTTATAAATAGAAAGTAGAATCTCTGATATTTCTGTTATGTTGCACTACCTCAGTACCATCTCTATACATTTTATTCTACTAGTAATAGACATATCTCACCATCAATAATATAGACTTAGAAATCTATCTAAAATATCTGAAATATCTCTTACTGACTTCATTTATGTGAATTGGTTGTAATTTTTTTGGTTTTAGATGAATCTGTTCACATCACAGTTCCTTACTGTTATGCTACGATTTTAAAACAAATGTATTAGGGCTTGTAAATACTGTTATCATAGTTATTTTTTTCATTATCTTATACCGGATTATCCCGTATCAGCTTATATCAATATTTCAGTATTCTACCTCATTTATTCTTTAGACTCAAAACTGAATTCTAATGATAAATTGATCATGTGCTAAAGCTTAACTTCTATTTTGCATTTGATGTGCTACATTTGAAATTGCTTAAAAAGTTGAGTATAGTTGCTGCCTGTCAAAGATGTGTTTGACATCCTGGGTTTGTGGAGATGAGACTTTTATGTCTTATTATTTAATGATTTAAAAAGCCATATAGCATTAGATAAGACATAATAAAGGGAGATAACACACTTTGTGCGGAATGAAACTTAAATCTATAATTTCTAGTAAGCTGACGACCTAATTCTTTCTTCATTCTACATCCTGATATTGATATTTGACATTTTTCATTTACTTACAGCAACAGAAACACTCTTGTACAGACTGATTCTGATGTTTTCACTTTCTTATTTACCACCCATATAAAAATGTCAAAAAGCTGTTTAATCATTTTACATGAGATGATTATAGAGAGGTGACATATAAAGCCTGATGAAATACAACAGAGAGCTTTATTGGGACTTTCTGAAGGAAAAAAAACACTTTGCTTACATGGCTAAATATGAACACTGTGAATCTAATAAAAGAAAGTAAACAATTTACTGTTGTAAAGCAAATGTAACTTATAGCTTACATCTATTAAATTAAATTTATGTAATTAGGCCTCTGATTCAGTTAACAAACACCTTCTGAATACTTGCTGTGTGCCTATATATTGTACCCATGTAAGTTACTATTTGCAGATAGACAATTAAAAACAAATTCACCATTCAGGCAAATTGTGCATGTTTATAATCGCAGCCCTTGGGAATCTGAGGCAGGAGGATCACAAGTTCAAGTCCAATCTGGGCAACTACTGAGATTCTGCCTCATGAATAATAATTGGCTGGGAATGTAGCTCAGTGCCAGACCCAGGGTTCAATCCCTAGTACAAAAAGCAAAACAAAATGAAACAACCCTAACACAATATGGAGTTGTGATAATTGTTAATAGTTATATGAGTAGATTTT